ATCATTATCACGAGCTGACAACAGTCTGTGGCAGTGCGCGGTTTAGCAAAAATGAAAGCAATGCTGGGCCGGAGGAAGATACAGCCAGAGACTGTGTGAAGAGGGTCAGTGTTAATAAAGCCATCTCATCCAGCAGGATATTGTGAGTTCTTGAATTTGATGCAGAGCAATGAGACTGAATGATAAAGCGAGAGGGAGGCAGGAGCAGAGAAGAGTCTATTTTGCAGTCTTCAGTGTAAACTAAATCCTGTTCATTCAAGAGTTTTGCACTTTACAGCAGGTTTTGTCACCTTGAAATTTAGTTCTTCTTTTTTCAGTTCTATAACTGTGGACATTCCTCTGCCTCTAAATGCTAAGTAACACTGCTGCAGACCCTGCTACTTAATCCCAAGGAGAATACATCAGTATATATATATAACTGTATAATCTACACTGACTGCAAATACAGTACGTGACATATATTGGAGCAGATGACTGATCTGTGGGAGATAAATGCATATTAAGAGGTACCACCAGATGGAGAGGGAGACACCACGGTCTCAGCCTAAAATATCGCATAAATATTTGTGCATTATTTGACCAACTCAGTGTGCCTTGAAATGAGCTCAACTGGCGTTTAAACTGTTGTCACTGTTTAGGTATTTCCAACACTTGGCCATAAAAAGGTTTTATGGAGGCTAAATATTTATAAACTATTGTAAGACCCAGATACGATATTTACAACAACTAAAAGAAATACATTCTCTGGGAAAGTAAACTACTTTATGCGAGTGTGTTTGTGTAATACATACAGTTGAGGAAAGCAAACTTGCCAAAGGTGAGAGTCAGACATTTGGCGAGACCATGCACGATATTAGTCATAACCAATCATAATTAGTGCTTTATGTACCCATATATGTCCATCCTTTCCACCATTGGAGTTTGCCTTTTTTAGCTGAGACTAATGGAAAGTGTGATTCGAGTGAATGCAACTGTGTGCAACGATCCTAAATGCAAATATGGAGAGCAAACTTTCAGATAATGAGCACAGTGAATGAGACAAACATGCACAAGTCATTGTGTTCATTACTCAAATAAATGGTCCCTAATGTTCGTGTTGTGTTAGGCATGCCTGCCCACATTCCCTCTGTTCATTCTAGTGATAATCTGATAAGTGAATAAGTCAGTGAAGTTCAGTGCCAGGGTCTTGTGATGCACTGACCTCTGTAAGCCAGCTAATTGAATGATTATGCGTTGGCTCCTTGCAGCCACTATTGTTGTAGCAGGTGTGCTAATGCAACAGTACAGCCAGAGGGATTTACAGGATGCCTGGAAATACAAGGCAAAAGGGGCTCCTTTACAAAGACACGCTGTTGTACTGCACTGTTTCCCAAATAAACTCGTGCAACAAACACACGCAGATAGTTTGGCCTATGTGCAGCATGCATATACAATTTTTAATTCATTTTATATAACAACCTAAAAGTTACTAAGTTATAACAGAGCCGCAGCCGCTCCAGTGATGCAGCATTCTGCAGCAGCCACGTTGGATGACCGCAGCTCTTGCATTTTCAAAACTGACAACACTACACTCACAGCACCATCAACCAGACACTGTTCATTTTTGTGCTACTTTTAGCCACAGACTGAAAACGTCACAATAGATACATTTGACAGATTACGCCTGAAATGATCTCAGCTTAACCACAGCAGCCAGTCAGCCACTACTTGCTCTGAGAGGATTATTCAACACTGTCTGCAAAGTCAATAATTATGAACTGTCAAATAATTTGTGATTTATAAACTAAAATACTTAAGCCTACATGTAGTTGTATGTATCATTTGTATTCAGAAAGCAGCAAAGGAATGCAAAAGATGAATGAAAGTAGAGGAGAAACACATTAATCTACAGTAAAGTATGGAAGCAATCTTTATCAAGAACATTAATGTATAGATTAGATATGATATGCACCTTATTTTAGAAAGCCTTACTCTTTTTTAGCTGTTCAGACAATATTAAGTGGCTGTAGAAGGATTTCTTAAGGATGTAAAAAGTCTCTGATATATGACATCACCGCTGATTACATTACATTAAGTAAATGCTATTAATAGTATCTCATTACACCCTTTTTTCTGAGCTCGGCAGACAAAGACCAGGTGTGTCTTTGAAACCGGAGGGTTCAGTAATTAAAACGTTTGGCATAGCCAGTGATATGATCGTGCAGAATAGCCTTCTAATGAATAATGGTAAGACAGCTGATTGTAAAGCCACGACCCCGCTCACAAGCAGAGCGCTCAGATCCCGTCTTTGTGAAATTCTGATGAGACATAAACGAATATATCAAGCGTTTAGTGTGCTTTGCAGAGACAATTCAGTTATGTCAGAAACTCCAGCCAACACAGAAGCAAGTCGTGACTGTTTAAAAAGGGTAACAACACGGGGCCCACGCAGCAGACCACACACCACTGCAGGACTACATATTTGGACTGGGATTGCCTTCCAAGTGTGTCGTAACAGTGAATTGCTTCTTATTGGAGAATGTTTAGCAGGAGCGGCTCTATCGATCTGTGCACCAAAAGGGAAAAGCCTTTGCAGCATACTAATAGCTGATAGTTACAAGGCCAGCCATGCAGTTAGCAGTTAGATTCACTGCATCTGGGGCTGCCTAGATAGAGTACCTTTCCCCGATAGAGACCTTGCAAGCAAACTAACTCACCATATGGCACATTCCACACTGTATGTATTTGACAAAGTAATGGATTTGTTTAGCAAATTAACTGATTATGCCTATTTATACAGCCTAAGCAGATAACCCTTATCTTTTTATTTTATTCCAGTTATTTCCTATTAATTCCAGTGGAAAGTATCCACTGGTATACAGGAATCAGAATCAGAGTTAAAGCAACAGTGTGTAAGATTTAGGGGATTTAGTGACATCTAGTGATGAAGACTGCAGATTGCAACCAGCTGAAACTTCTCCTGTTTAGCATCCCTTCAGTGTTTATCGTTCAGACGGTTTTTACTGGGAGCTGAATTATCCAGATCAATTAAACAGATCACAGGTCTCATTTATAAACATTGCGTACACACAAAACGAGGCCTGAAAGAGGCGTATGCCACTTCCCATGCAAAAGTTGTGATCTATAAAAACAAACTTGTGCAGAATGTGCATATTTATAGGGAAACTCTGACTCATGCATATGAACATTTTGCTGACAGGGGATATTGGCGACACATATGATGAGCTCTCACACATTTATTTTGCCTCATATCACACGTTACTTATACATCAACTTCATTAACGTTTAATCCGGAGGTGTTATTAGTGCTTGTGCTAGTGAGACACAATTTTTCCATAAACACCTTTCAGTTGTAAAAATCCTAAGCTTACTCAAATATCACCCCCAATTCTGCTCATTATTTCATCGGCGCTGTCTCATCATCACATCCCCACCCTCACGGGCTCAGAAGAGAGCCCTTTCAGATAGTTTTTGTGTGTAAAATCACTGCGGCGAACACAAGCGTGTAAGCACAGAGCGCACTGGAGACATTGCGGTGGCTGTCACACACTTCTCCTCACCACCTGCATTATTTTGAGTCCTATTCATAATGCAAGCCAAGACAAACATAAATAAATAAATTGTGTTCACCTATCAAACTTTCATCTTTACATGATATCCCAGGGTCAGGGATACACTGATTGTCATGATCATTTTTGCACATTGTCAGTCTAAATGCTGTAGACAACAACGCAGTGACACTTGGTTGTTGCCGTGATTCACTGGTCAAGTCCCATTGATCAGCAGGCTCATTTCCGTGCATTAACCTTGACAAGGTGCTTTGCATTGACCATTTATTATAGTTGAATGTGGGCATGTAGAGGGCAGGATATGAGGCTGATCCATGTGCCGACAATTCCAAGTTAATTTGGGATTGATAAAAGGACACTGTGCACTGTCAGGCGTACGCATAATTTTATTAATCATGATATTTTCTGGCACACACCATTTTCTGCTTTTGTCCACACGTACACTTTTAATATAAATCCTATGCACTGTTTTATGAATGCGACCCCAGGTGATTAAAACCAGTAAAAACACTGAATAAAGCTGTTTCATGTTACAAATCAGCGTTTCTCCTACACTGTTTGGCTCACCAGAGACAGGCCACTGGCCCAACACCTGCTTATGTGTGCTCATCTTTTCTCTCAGAAAAGAGTCAGACGTTCACAAGGTTTTTACCATGAGCTGAATTATCCAGAGGTCTCTTTCTCTCCAAAACAAATGGACCCAGTGATTTAAACTAGTAAAAGCACTGAATAAAGCAGTTTAACATAACATTTTATGCTCTCATCATGGAGGGGCTGCTAACTATGGTGGCCAACGCAAAAACATAAATGGCTCCATCTAAAGCCAGCGTTTGATTTCCCCATATTGTGCTACTGTAGAAAAATGATGGTGCAGCATGGCAATCTCTGTAGAAGAGAACCCACTCCCTATGTAGATGTAAACGTCTCATTCTGGTGACAAAAACGATTCTTACTTTCCGGGTGATTAAACATGAAAGAAAACTTATTATATCATATTCCATTTCTGTCGATATATCCCCCTAAATCCTGCACACTGGACCTTTAAGGCAGAGTTAATGGTGAGCAGGGTTCATTTCAGAAGTAATGGCAGCAGGGGATTGAAAGCAAATGCCTGTGTGAAATTTAACAGTCTGGGTTTATGGACAAAAAAAAAAAGGCAAAGTGTTGGAATTGATCCAGGTTTCACAACCGAAATAGAACAAAAGTGTCTGCTACCACCAACACCCTCATCTCAGCCTACCTGCAGTGACACACACACACACACACACACACACACACACACACACACACACACACACATAGACAGAAACACATCTTCATCAAGCATCTGCCATAAACACACATCAACCAGTTCAGGCGCTTCACACCTTGCATTTTATAAGCCCATTCAATCCAGTGTGTGCGAACAGAGAGGGGCAGACAGAGGCCTACCTGTGACCTGCAGCTTATCCACAGTGACCTCACACTTGAGGTAAACACGCCCCCTCCTTTCAGTGTGATCGGTTCCACACAGGCTGGGCACGTTCATAACACACTGCTTGTGGACGTTCATATCGCAGGCTGGAGGGACAGAGAGAGGAGATAAAAGACATTAGTGAAGAGGGCTTTACATAGATCAAGATTAGCTTTTTCTCTTGATGCATATCAATTCAAACTGAATGGCTCAGGGCTTCCTTAGAGCTGGCTGAAATACAGATGCTGCTGTACATGAACATGCTACTGACAGCAACTTATTTATTTGTGGATTATATAAGATTTTCATGCATTTGTGTATTTTTAACACATTCTTTTTTTTATTAAAATAGCTATGATCTATAAATAATGAAGATATCATATTACAGTATGTTACAAAAGCAAATGTGTGCAGCCTCCTATGGCTTAATGTTCAAATACAGTAAGCTGCTTTTTCCTCGAGATTTACTTTATCTATATGAGGACAGATTTCAATTTCGTTCATGTATCATAAACATTTGGCACAATATTAAAGCATGGTTTTTTTGGAAAGCTCTGTGAGGGAGGAGATAACAAGGTTATGACCCAGATTCAGCCCCCGTGATGTCATGCATACATGGCATGTGTGTCTGCCAGCTGAACCACCCTGTCATAGATTTGGAGCAGTTCCCAACGGTTACATCATCATGCCAACAAGTCATTCGGTGAGTGAATAATAATGTTAAAGACTGGCTATGTTGCTAACTTATGCAGCTCACCAGTGCTTGGATATAATACAGTGCAATCTTATTGTCGTGTGATTAGAGGCGCAATTGATCTGCCAAAATAATTTGCCGCTCCACGTCTCTATTTATGTACACCCCGGAGCAATCATTAGGCATAACTGGTGGTCTGTAGCAGGTGGAGGATAATGTATTTAGGAGCTCATTAAGGCATTCAGACTAATCCACTAACACAAGATTAAAGGGAAGAAGACTGAGGGAGTGAGGGATATTAATAAAGACTCTGTAAAGCTTTTGATAGCAGGCCTATTCAGAGTGCAGGGAACATAGCTGCAGACTGAAAATAGACAATGTGTGATTTTAATGAGTGAAAGTGAAGGAGGAAGGGAAACACAAAGGCCTATGATATTCAGTGAGGAGGAACAATGGACTTGTTTTATTCAGGACATGATGCTGATGAACTGGCAGTAAAAAAGAATATCGTGTGCCATGTTATTTTCCTGTGCATGCCATACTTGTGCCTAATTGACCTGTACAACAGAGCGGTGCAGGACTAAGTTTCCTGCTTCAGTGTTTGACCATCAACTTTAGGCCCTACACCACTTGATACACGGAACTGACATTAGAAAATAATTGAGGACATATGATACCGCTGAGTGAGATATCAAATGAAGTACTCACAGTCGCACTTCATGCCCTGGTGGATGAGGCCATACAGCAGAGAGCCACAGTGGTCGCAGAAGGTGGGGCTCCCATAGGTGTGGATCTTGAACTTGTGCTTCGTTCTGGGATCCTGGAAAAATCAAAAGACAAATAGAGCCATAAAAAATGAATAAAATGATGACATGACTGTAAATGCAAACCAATTACCAATAGGGCTGGGTATCAGTACTAACTTTAAGATATTGATCAGAATTACCCAGTACCAAGTGGTACTATTGAAACTTCTTAGTTCAAATGATACCTGGATTTGATCCTTTCTGTATTCAGATCTAGAAACAAATGGCTATTTGTATGGATTTGGTTGCAACCAATCGCCAAAAGTATTCTTCAATTTATTGCATTTTGTGATTGGCCCACTATTACAGCAGCTACAACCTATACAGTGTGTGGTGTGCTGTAGTCAAGCATAGTGTATTCAACGGAGCTGGCAAGTGAGTGTGCTGAGATGCCACCAAAATGTTTGATAGTATGAATATACTACACACCTGTGGCGTTTGGTGCCATTTTGGTTCAAGTAAAATGCCACCAGAAGTAATCACTGAGTCATCACTATTAAAGCTACTCTTACCTTTCTTGCATTTCACACAGCACTTAGAAAAAAATTATTTGAACATCCACAACTCCCGCCTCCCTCCAAAGTCCTATCCTCCTCCTCCTGCAACTCCCGCCTCCCTCCAAAGTCCTATCCTCCTCCTCCTGCAACTCCACCTCCCTCCAAAGGCCTACTCCCCCCTCCTCCATTACGTCCTCATTACGTCTATGACAGACTCAACCGGAGTCAGTGATGACGGATGAGTTTTAGAATAAGGTTACAGTTCTAACGTTAGATAGTAGCGTTAACATTACTAGTAAGTGGAAACGCACAAGGAAGATAACGTTAATGTTTCAGAGGCTACGCTACAGTAGGCTAACGTTAGCCATTAGCAACTGCAACATATAGCAACATATATAACATTACAGCCTATGTTACATTAGTAGACTCACAAGTCACTCTTTAGACGCTTTGCTTAACTAAAGACTGATGTCTTTCTCCCTGATTTTGTGTTTAGATGGGCGGATACAATTTCAGAGTTTAAAAAAAACTCCCTACGTTGCAGAACCAATAGTAAATCTGCAGGGCGGTCCTTCAGTGGCTCGCTGAACTCTTGTGCTCGTAAACACAGTCCGACTGCGTTAAAAGTTTTAAACAAAGTCGCTGTAAGTCCTTCATTTCCACAATCTTGTGGACTGAGCACACGTTTGATAAAACAGAGTTAAATCTCTCGGCATCCATTTTCAAGCTCTCTGTGTGTTTATTTCCTTGCGGACGAGAAAAGGGGGAGCGCACATTTCCGGGAGGGCGTGTCCTTTTAAAAAGAGGAGTTGCTTTGTTGCCGGCCGTTTTCTCCGGTGTGTTAAACACACTTTAGAAAGGAGTGTCCCCAGACTATCAGAAGGCGGAGATCTCTGATTGAGAGACTATTACATTAGAGGCAAACTAAGATGTTACGCGAGCGGTTACATCAGTCGGAGGCCTCCACGTGGGGAAGACAGACAGGACGCTCGGCCAATCATTGCATTCTGATTGGTTGGAGTTTTCTTAGAACCATATGAGAATGGTATAACTATGAGTTTTTATCGCTGGTGGAATTCACTTACATGTTAGTGTGCCATCAGCTTATTAGTAGCATTTTAACCTAAACAAAGAAAAGCGTAAAATTTCCAGAAAGGTAAGTGTCGGTTTAATCAACAACAACCCAAACCATCTGTATAGATGATGGTCATTTAGTGCTGGAGGACAATGCTGGTCTTATCAACAGGTCTTATCATAATTAAAAATATTTCACAATATTTATCATATTTATTTAAGACCCCCTATTCAGTCTATTTAAATGCAATATACTGTATATACATATACTACATAGTTTAAAACTAGGGTTGGGCAATTTATTGATATATCAATATTGTGATATGAAACTAGATATCATAATATCTTAAGTGTTGTCTTGTTTAGCTGTTCTATTATTTATCTTTACCCACTTAATATATAGTTATTGGCAAGTGCAAGTTATAGTTATTAGCAAGTATCAATTACTTTAAGGTCTGAGAGCACATGCAGTTTATGTAACTTCAACACTGGAAACTAGGAAGTAAAAAGAAACACTGATTCATAACAATGTAATGATTCAAAGCTGGGAAGCCGACTGCAATAAGAGTTTAAATGATTAAAATCGCCTTAAGGTGTTTCTCAACACTGGAACATTGTCTGATGACACCACAAAGAGAGATGGTTTTAATAATTGTTTTGGACAGTCTGACTTTCCGCTCTGCAGAAGATGTTGACAAAATATATACCGACATGAAAATAAATGGTTTTTGATCTTGTGCCTTATTGTGCTTATGGTTTGTTAATTTCAGTTATTTCCTGCCTTTCACATTTGAAAAGCTGTCACACTGTTTGGAGGAACAAAAACAGTGTAACTGCATCGTGTGTCAAGTAGAACGCAAGAAAGAAATGTTAATCAGAATAATTCAGTGACATACAATGTTCTGTATATAGGATGGAAGAAAATGATTTTATTGTTGAGGGCCATAAGTTCAAAAATATCTATCCTGCGAAAATGACTTCATCCTTCATCCTCTGACACTCACACGTTAATGAAGGAAAAACAGAAGTTGAAATCAACCTACTGCATCACAGGTCACCACTGTGTGTCACGAAAAATGGGATCCACTCAGCAGACAATTTGTTGCTGATTGCCAACTGACCGCAATCACCACCTCTCTTCTTTACTTATAGAACTTCAAGTGGTAGCCAATCAATCTGTAACAGCCGTTTATTAAACCATTGTTTTGGGGTTGTCTGTCCGTCATCATTGCCAGCAACCGAGCGAGAATGGAGCTGTTTGTGCTAAATGGGCTTTAGCATTAGATTAAAAAGCAGGGAGTTTAGTTAACTGCAATTCCATGATTCATTTTTAAGCACGCATAATACAGCCAAGGATTACTGTGCACTTGAAGATCTACCCCAATAAAGCGTGGTGTGGAAAAAACACACACTATTAAATATCCTCAGTTATTACTACACTGAAAAAGACACTGATATCTCAAACTGCAGAACATCAGAATGTGTGCACTGGACAATCTAAGAAGTCACCTCTCTCATGTATTGTTTTCCTTTTGGCTGGTCAGTAAATGGTTTGTGCACACATGTGTAGTCATCAAAGACATCAGAGCTGCTCATTCATCACTAGCCTCCTGTTATCGCAGTTCATTGCTCCAGGCACTCTACATAAATACTATAATAGTGTGAAAAACACTAGAGTTCAATGCAGAGTGCACTGAGCATGAGTGTGTAACTGGGCAGTATAGGAGCTGTTGGTTCCAAGAGGCTGAATCATGTCTTTGTAAAGATAATACATTGCTTCTGCCATGTTAGACTTCTTTTTCCTACATGCAAGATGAAGTCCAGTTTAGATTTTGGTTGTTTGGTTGTTATTGTTCTCACATTATCAAAAACTATTTGCATGTTCACCTGGATGTTTTGCCGACAAAATGTGTGTCTCTTATGAAGAGCATGTCCACAATACCAAGGAAAGACATCCATTTGCCAGTCAGATGTAGCAGGTGGTACTGTTATGCATTAATTCAAATTATTGCACACTGTCAGTGGATTCTTCATAGAGCAGCCACATCAGTAGCCCCACACCAAACATGGCAGTAATGTATGACATTAATGGGAGAGCATAATACAGAGGAGTTATTACTCAGTTGGGCTAGGTCTCTTTACTAGGGGCCCTTGTGTTTTATGGTCAGAATATCTGGTGGAAGAAATTGTGCTTGATGTTTCTGACATTCAGCTATGAGCACAAATTGAATGGGGTGTAATGGGAGAATCTGAGAGAGCTAAAAAGCCAATACAAGAGACAAATATAACAAGTGTGTTGTCATGTCAGAAAGAGGTAAGCTTTCTACAACATGTAGGTCATGGGAAGTGTTTGAGGCAGACTGAGGAGTGAGTTATGTGTTAGGACTCACCTGCTGTAATCTGTCATCAGTTAATGCCTTCCAAAAATGTGGGACTAGGCAAGGATGGCTAATATTTTATCACCCATCCCTCCAGATTGGTAATTGTGTTTTAATGTTGCTTAAGTGAGCATGTAAAACAGGCTGGAATCTCTTCTGGCAGATTCACACTGGGACCCGAATCACAGTCAGGCTACATGATTGCATCATCCCTTAAGCATGTAATATTAATGCCATCAAATAAGTTTTGATAACTTGCATAATTAAAGACTCCAGTGTATACTGGAGTCGATAAAGCACCCTCAAGTGTATGAGCTAAGGGTTAAGAGTTTTAATTTAGCTTTTGGATAATAGTGCTTGATAACAAATTTCTATTTTAGTTGTGAATTTAATCTATGACATCAAGGGAGGAGGGATGCGATTAATCCACATACTGTAAATGTCTTTTCTATTAGAATTCAGTGTATACTATTATCACAAGATTAACAAAATGAATACAATTGTAAAACTTGCTGATATACACAGTATACTGTCACTGTTATGTGGACTGGACTTGTAAGACAGCACTAATAAAACAATCCATCTCTTGTGTTTCGTTTGAATTTGTTATTCCTGAAAACAGGCCCTGGAATTTGCATGGCTTCCTTCCCCACACACAAGTAAATGCACAACTCATTTTTTTATCAGGTGCTCATCCCCACTGGCTGTGCCACCATCCATTATTAATTTGGATAATTTGGATACTCAAATCAAGGAAGAAAGAGTACAATTTCTATACAGTCAAAAGAGACAGAGATGCGGGAAGAAAAAGCAATGCTATGACGCGAAGTGCTTCAGTGGTGGAGATAAATTAAGCTGTTAACACAAAGCGGCAATCTCCAGGGCTGAGATATGAAGCCAGCGCAGATGTGCCAAAAAATTAAGTCCCTGTAATGGCCACTCGAGGGTGGTTTCAAAAGTGAGTCAGTCCCCTTAGACCCCCAAGTTAAAATGCCCAACTTGAGTGGTGCAAAAATTGGTGTTGGTCTCTATAGCTAATTTCAACATTCATGACGCTTGTACAGG